TATCTCAGATTCTCCAGCATCTGCAGTTCCTACTATCTCTGAAATACCTACGTTATGCAGTCTGCTCAAAAGTGAAGACTGTAGTGCAATATATTGCATGTTTCTCCAAGGCACTGGTGAACATTCCAAAATAAAGCCTAGGTTACCTCCACTTCTACAAGCTAAAGGTCCGGTTCTATTTAAGCAAGAAATCTAGGAACCTGCAATTCCCTTTAGATGCTGCATTCCAGAAAACTAGTGGAGTTTGTTCAAGTATTTGTTTTACTCTATAGACAACCTAAGACAGAGAGAAATGAATTTCCTGCAGTGTCAGAGTAGCCATTAAATTCATTCTCACAATAAGAAAAGCAAGAAGGATGTAATTCCTCCCAACTGAGTGATTGAGATTGAACTAGGGGTGAAAAGTTAATCTCCAGGATCCCTAATGATTTGCTGATTTCCTTGTTAAAACTCACAACTTGGCAGGCAATAATAACTTAAGGTAAATGAAAGACGGCAATTTCACAAGTGTCCATGACATAATAATTTGATCACTCAATCTCATGAGTTTGCAAAATCAACATGGAGACAATAAGAAGACAGTTGTTTGAGAACTTAAAAACACTTACCTTCATAAACTGTTCCATAGCCTTTGAAGCCAAGGAATTGGATCTGAAAAGAGTGTTTGGATCAGCTGTGTAAAACAGAAAAAATATTGCTTAGTAAAATGAAATACTGAAACTTTCAATGCATAGCAGCCTGCATGTTTACTTATTTCTGAAAAGAATTTAGTACTTTTTATAATATCTTGTCTGTAGACCATATTTGATAGGAATAGATCTAATTATCGAACAGTATAAATTGGTATGTTGATATAAAAGTTAAAAGCATTTCAGCATTTTATCATCTTTGTATTCTTTTGAATACATGATAATTAGCCATGAATTTTCCAAACACCTCCACAATCATAATTTCATGAACTTCTGAGTCAAACATGTTGTTAGCATTGCCAGTTTGATTAAACTCTTCCCTCTAGTGCAGCAAAAAAAAGAGGAATGCCAAGAAGAGATTTAAAACTGTGGGACTACAGCTTTGTATAATGTAGACAAGAGACATTCCAACAGCTTCAGACTGGTTTTAAGTGATTATGAATTCACATAAACCTATTCTTCAATCGTCATATGAGCCTTGGAATGCTGCAGAATCAATTTCAACTTCACCAGGAGCTGAAACAGCCCCCTGCTGGAGCTCACACCTGAAACCCTGAAGGCTTTGACTGTCAGGTATCATCTGTCTATGACTAGTCAGCTCCTTGGCAGTTTCCAATGGTGGGTAGCAGCTGCCCATTGGGGAAGCATGAAAATGGGCAGATGGGGAGGTGCTTTTGACAGGAGTCAACTAAAGACACAGACTTTTCTTGAGCTCTTAAAGAAACCCCACTGCTTCTCAGGGACACCAAATGAGAATATTCCTTTAAACCACCTTCAACAGCCTTACTGACATCTTGACAGCTTTAACTGGAACAACTGTCACCATAGGCAGGCCACCTGAGAGCAGCACAAAATTCCATATTGGTTCCATGTACGACATTCTGATGCCAGAGTTATTGATGTTGAAAATTGCAGATTAGCCAGAAATGGAACAGTTCCATTTTATGGACAAAGCCATTGGTTATGGAGTTTAGATTGTCCCATTTATTTTCACTCTACCACAAAAGCCAATGTCTGACCCATTTCCACTTCAACAATGTAACAATTCTGGGTGATCTTAAGGTAAAGAGCCAATCCGGTTTTACTGCAAGAGAACGTTACATGCAATTTCTCTGCTCCATCATAAACTCACATTGAGACAGCAAGGGATAAAATGAACGAATGACCCATCTACCTGCTACTAATTTGGTTAAATGCATTAGTTGTCAGAAGGTGAACATATAGAAGGCAGAAAAGGAATCTGCCACCCATTAATGGGAAAATCTGTGTCTCTCTCAAATTCACAATCCCATGATATTGTAATATTTTAACATTTATCCCTCAATCAACATCATTTGAACAGATTACCTGGTCACTGTCACATAGCTGTTTGAGAGTTTATTGTATTCAAATTGGTTATCATATTTTCTACATTGTAGTTGACGACATTTTAACAAAATTTTTATCTATATGGTGCTTTGGGATGTCCTGAGATCATAAAAGAAGCTATAAAAATGCAAGACAACAAGGTGCAGAGCTCGATGAACACAGCAGGCCAAGCAGCATCATAGGAGCAGGAAAGCTGACGTTTTGGGCCTAGACCCTTCATCAGAAATGGGGGAGGGGAAGGGGGTTCTGAAATAAATAGGGAGAGAGGGGGAGGCAGATAGAAGATGGATAGAGGAGAAGATAGGTGGAGAGGAGACAGACAGGTCATACAGGCGGGGATGGAGCCAGTAAAGGTGAGTGTAGGTGGGGAGTTAGGGAGGGGATAGGTCAGTCCAGGGAGGACGGACAGGTCAAGGGGGCGGGATGAGGTTAGTAGGTAGGAGATGGGGGTGGGGCTTGAGGTGGGAGGAGCGGATAGGTGGGAGGAAGGACAGGTTAGGGAGGCGGGGATGAGCTGGGCTGGTTTGGGGAGGCGGTGGGGGGAGGGGAGATTTTGAAGCTTGTGAAATCCACATTGATGCCATTGGGCTGCAGGGTTCCCAAGCGGAATATGAGTTGCTGTTCCTACAACCTTTGGGTGGCGTTGTTGTGGCACTGCAGGAGGCCCAGGATGGACATGTCGTCTGAGGAATGGGAGGGGGAGTTGAAATGGTTCACGACTGGGAGGTGCAGTTGTTTGTTGCGAACCGAGCGTAGGTGTTCTGCAAAGTGGTCCCCGAGTCTCCGCTTGGTTTCCCCGATGTAGAGGAGGCCACAACGGGTACAGCAGATGCAGTATACCACATTAGCAGATGTGCAGGTGAACATCTGCTTGATGTGGAAAGTCTTCTTGGGGCCTGGGATGGGGGTGAGGGAGGAGG